TTGTAGGGAGACATTGAGAATTGGTGTTTAATAAGGGGCATTGCATGGATAATAATAATAATAATAATAATAATAATAATAATAATGTGGCGTTGTCATATTGTGAAATTTCTCTATATAGCCTTTAGACTTGAATGATTAATCCTGCAAGGGTCTCTAAAAACCTGGTGCCCTATGGTAATTTGGCTTGGGAGTCATCGACTGAAAACTCGTTACAAGGGTCATTTAGAAAACTTAAAGAAGAGAAGTATTCAAAAAAAAAATTTGCTACATGTCTTGAGTAAGCCACGATCTCTCATTTGAGAGAATTAGACTTTTGACAATGGATTATTAGCTTAATTGATTCTTAGATGTTGAAGCAATCAAAAATAAGGAGAATCCGCATTTGTTGACGTGTTGAGCTGCAATTAGTAAAATCAAACCAAACTAAAGAGGGTAAGGAGAAGCATTATATTAAAAATTCAACCTTATGTCACACCTCGGGGAAAGAGTGAAAAGAATGAAGTTTGGAGGTGTGTATCTTATGAGGGAAGAAAGGAAACATTTGTGACTTTGTGATGTTTTACATGAATCTTTATACACACATCAGTTTTGCATTGAATAGAGATTGGTTTAGCATTGTGATTTTGAAGTAGTTTATAATTTTAACTCTGAAAGTCCAATCCTGAGGCTAAAAGCATATTATCCAACCAAGTTATTTATGAAATTTTGTGTAGTTAAGCTTTATTTTGTTTGAAGACAAAACAATTGTTCAAGTTTGGAGATATTTGATGAGTGTATTTTCTACACTTATCTAGAGCGTTAAACTAGACCAATTATTGTCATTTTAAATGAATTGAGGCTTAATTTTGTATATATTTTATTTGAGGTGTATCTCGATGAAAAACGATGGAATTGGACAAAAGGAGCAGAAAATTAACTAAAGTGAACCTAATCCAAAGTTTGGGGACTAAATTGCAAAATGCTAATAAATGATTCGGACCTAGTATCGATGATTGGAGAGAGGTTGGAGTCAATTAGATGGATTTGGATGATGGAGGATCAAGAAGATACGAAAAAGGGACCAAAATAACTAAAGAATGAAATTCGGGGACCAAAGTGCAACAAATGGGAAATTGTATAACGGCGCGCGCACAAGCCAATTCTCTCGTGCGCGCACGGGCATGAACTTTATCTACCGATAACAAAATCAATGAATTTTTTTTTTTACCACAAGAAAGAGGCTAGTACAAGATTCAAAGGCAATTAACACAAGAGATTGGAGATTCAAAGTCCGGGTTGAAGATTAACGAAAAAGAAATTGATTTTTCACTTTCCATTCATTATTTTTCATTCCGGGTGATTTTTTTCAAATATTTTTGTGTAATTTACATAACAATATGTTAGGCTAATTATTTTCATATATCGGACGAAGATGAAACATTTTAAATTCAAGACAAGTACTTAGTTAATTTCTTGTTTTTCTTGATTAATCTTGCATGCATGATTTTATTATTTGATTGCTCACAAATTGGTTTACATCATTGCTTGATTAACATGCGTGCAATAGATATTATGAATAATATCTATCACGTGTGCAATTTTTGAGATAATCTAAACTTTAATGCGTTCTATTCATTCGAATTCGAACTAGGAATAGATTCGACTCGTGATTAGAATATATTTATATTATTTTGAAAAAGAGAATTAATTACAATATATTTATCAATTGTTAAGAATGCATGAATGATACTAGCTACATAATTAAGAATTGAAATAGATAATAATAGGTGAATTTATAATCCAATATATTCATTCCATATAAATACAAAACTCGAATTTTACAAGCTTTCATAGAATAATTTAGAATAATTATCAACCACAATTATATTTTGTTTGCTCACTTTGAGTCTGAATAAAGAGTAATACACTTGATTGAAATTTATTCCCTGTGGACGATAACTCTTAACTCATCATGTATTACTTGTCAACGATCCCGTATACTTGTGGGTTTTGCACGAACATTGATCTTTGATTGTAAATGTTTATCAATAAAATCATTTGATCTAGTTTTTACCCTCAACAACTGCATATGAAAGATGCAATCTCTCTTCGTAAATTCGAACAGGAGAAGAGATACAAAATTCTGGAGGGACCATTAATTAAGATTGAAAAGGAATGAGAAGTTTATTAGTCACTATCAGCAACTCCCATTTGCACTTCGTATAAAGAATGATGAATATTCAACTTGTGACTTGTATGATCATGCTTTACAGCCTACCATCCATGGCTTCAAAGTCTATATTTATAACAGTATTAAAGATGCTTTCCTTTTCAAACTTCTTGTGCGATTGAGTGTTCCCAATCTCCAGGAGCCAACCATGGAAAGTGCTTTCTACACACGGAGAATGGAGGGTTGAGTGCCACTTTGAAATTCATCATTTTCTTCCTTTATCTTGTTTGAAAGGTAAACTATGCAACAGTTCTTAAGAGTATGTTATGTTTGGTATACATGGTGTGATATAACTAGAGAAGAGATTTTATTTTATTTTTATGAAAAACTAGAGAAAATATTTATGAGTGAGACGTTTATATGTTATCCCTACCAAGACTTCTTTTAATTTGAATAGCGGCTTGCCCATTTTATGGTTGAATTTGCCTTTCTTGTACTCATGGGAGCAGCTTGTTCGGTTGCACTTCTCTTATTGAGTCTGTCAATTTTGAGCAGTCATTCCGGTTTTAATAGTCCAATATACTAAACATGCTATAATCGTCGATTAAAATGATGAATTCAGGAAAAGAGTTGAACTAGAAATGCCATTAGAAAAGGATTCTACCAAGTTCTTGCACATTCTACTTTTTGAATAGAACTAAAATCAGCTAATGAAATATGAAATTCAAAGGCACTATTCCTGGTGTGGCTGCAGATTCTGATGGCTCCACAAATCAGCAGCAAAGTCAAGATTATGTTTACTAATTTAATGAACAAAACTAACACCCCACATAGTCTAGAGGCTTATATAGGGTCCAAGTGTTGATATAGAAATTAAAAAAGAGCAAACTTTTTATATATACTTTTAGCCATAATTAACTGTGATAATTGGTCTTAAAAGGATCTTTTCCCTCTTCAAAGAACAGCAGTTTCACTCTTAAAAACAAATATACATGTTACCTCTCTGCCTGTCGAATTTACATTTTAATCTAAGATTCAAGTTGAGCATATTTTTCATAAATAATTATCTTTACAAAGAGGTACAGAAAACTTTCTTTGTGGGAAAAATAACTTGAACTTTGTTACTATACTGTTAAATATATACCTAAGTTTAAAAATGACAAAAAAAAAAAAAAAAGAAGAAGAAGAAGAAAAGAAAAGAAAAAAGGAGAAGACATTGTAAGGTGGGAATACTCAAGAATCAATGCCTTTTAAGACAAATTGGGCTCGCTTCTGATATTCTATTATACCAAGAAATCGAGACATCAAAATCTGATTTTTCCAAAGTTGAAAATTATTCCTCACCCTTTTCAACATCTAATTAACATTAAAGCGACATTTGAGCACAAAGAGAGGTTATCATACAGTCAATGGTGAAACCTTCAGGGTAGAAACTTCAAGAGCCTATCAGCAATTTGTATTTTCAAATAGAAACCCTATTTCTTTTTGTTTTTGGTGTGCATGTACATGTACATGCACATGCACTTTATTCTTCTAATTTTTTTCTTTTTGAGTGGGAAGTGGTCGGTGTTGACTTGTATAAACATTTATTTCTTTCATTTATAAGATATTTTTTAAAAGTGAAACTTTTTTAAGGGTACTCTACCATTAGGGACTACGGTAGCTTCATGCTCTCGGTTGAGTCCATCCTATCCTTCTTTTCTTCATTCTGGGTATTCTCTATCAATTTGTCCTGATTCCTCTAATTATGGAGCTCAGTACTTGCTTCTTGAGTGTAGGACTCCGACTCAACAAAAAAAAAAAAGCATTCTTAAGCTATATCTTCTTATAACATATACTTGTAATATGAGAAATAGTAAAAAAAAAAATAAATAAATAAAAAAAAAAATAATAANGTAAAAAAAAAAATAAATAAATAAAAAAAAAAAAAGAATAATAAGAATAAATAAATAAATAAAAATAAAAATAAAATATTTCAATAGCCCGGGTTTTGTTGTGAGTCGGGTAAGTCCGTTTTCCCACATTTCTAAGTTATAACCTATATAGTTCAGCTTATAGACCCCCATACATCGTCCGTCAGGTTGGGCTTAAGCACTGAATGAATGACTATTTTATATATTTTCAATTTATCCTCCATTTGACAAATTTATAAATAATTTAGTACAAAATAGTATTGAGTTTCACGAAATGTATGATAATAATTAATAATATTTATAAATATGAGGTTGAAATTAATGCTTGTGTGAAAGTAATTATTGAAAATTAATTTTTTATAACATTATTTGTATCGAGAATGTGTGGTTATAAAGTAGGAAAATGTTATGGAAAATCGTGAAACTAACTATTTTTGGAGAATATGAAGTTGAAAATAAGTGTGAAGAAAGTGATTTCAAAATTTGCTCCCATTCAACCATTCGTATCTCTATGCATTGGAATCCCAATTCATGTACTTATTATTTGACTTTGACTGAATTTATAAACCTCTTATAAATTTGTATGCAAACGAAGGCAAGACTTAAATTTTAGACTGTATGGCCTATAATGTTAACCTAACACGACAACCCACGTAAAGTTAGATGGTCAAGCCAACTTTGACACTACACTAGGAGTGTTAACGAAAAAAGACGCTAATTGAATTCGGAAAACAAATTGAATCAAACAATGTGAATGCATATCAACCATCCATTGTAAAACACTATAGAATTGTATGATTACATCAAAATTTAATGGCTTAGATCCTTACAATATATGATTGCAAACATTATAAATACCGAGACTCGGTGTATAAGATGGCAACCTCCTTCTACAAAGCAAAATAACATCTCTCTCTCTCTCTCTCTATAGCTTTATGGCCTACATTCAACAAATCTATATCCTTGTTCTTCTTCTTGCAGTTATTACCTTCCTTGAAATTGCATTTACTGAGGGAAGGCAACTAAATGCATTCAAGAAACACAGAGAGATTTTCCCACCAAATAAAAGTAATTATGAATCCAGTTTCATAAGTACTAATTCAGATGAAACTTATAATTATGTTAACGATTTTCGACCTACAAATCCAGGGAACAGTCCTGGAATTGGCCACAATTTTGAAGCAGAAAACGATGTTGTTGAGCCAAAGACACCACCTCCTGCTTCAGGAAAAAATACAGATGTTTTTCGACCCACTACACCAGGTCACAGCCCTGGTTTTGGTCATCCTTTAGCAGGACCAAACGAATAAAATAACATGCACGAGTATAATTCTAAATCACGCATTACTACTTGTATGTTTGGAAAGCAGTATTGGAATCGAATTGGACACTATATTGAACAAGATTTAGCTTCTTTTTCGTTAGTGTCCCGTTCTATACAATATTTGCTACCAAATTAACAGTATATTTTGCATTCTCATTTTTAGATCATTCAACTGCTGCGGATGCATTGTTATATAATTTCCTGAACTTTATATTGCATGTAATATATTTTCAGTAAAAAGTATGCTTTGGAGTCTATGTAATGGACTAATGGATATGTAATATCAATAAAATAATTGTATTAAATTACTCTCTTGCATATATAATATATTGTACTTGCGGAGTTTATATTTTTCTAAGAGTGTTAGTTAACATGCATCATATTTATATTTGCGAGTAACAAAAGAGAGAAAAATGTTAGTTTATCGAAGAATGTGTATTAGTTTATCGAAGAATGTGTGGTTGAGAATAAAAGAGAGAAAAATATATTTTAAAAAAAATGAGGATAACATATATATTTATCCTCCCAATACCATACTTTTCCACAATATTTGACGAAACTATTAGGATTTTTTTTCTACAATTTATGTATCATTTTTGCTATGTTCACCTCTTTTTTTCCAGATTTTTTGGTCTTAGAAATGATTATTTCTGTTTTTACAGAAGTTATATGGATTTTTAATTATATTTTTAATATATTACCAACAGTTTATTAAAGGATTTTGGTTGGTATTTTTTTTTTTTTTTCAATTTTTCTTATACTATCAACGGGATTTTATCATAGAATTATTTCGTCGATAAATCCTCGGACTTTAATCTCTTTGTTCCGATGGTATTCCATCGCTATTAGCCACCGAAAATGTTCGTCGTCATTGTCGAATATTCTAGTAGTATGACATTCACCAATTTTCTCCTATAAGTACAGTTTTGGAATTAATTGCAATTGGAATTACTTTAACCACTAGTAAAGTTTTTGTTTCAATTGAAATTGCTTTAAAGTTTTGGACTTAAGTTTAATTGTAATTAAAATCCAGGGACTTAATTTTGGATCTAATTTTAATTGGACTTAATTTCAAAAGTTGGAAGCTCGTGATTCAAATTCGATGAAGAAATTGATAATCGAAGTTTGATAAATTCTAAATTTTTATTTCTTGATTATAACATATACGTGAACATCTAGTAAATATCTTGAATTCTCGAACTAAATGAATTTTTTTTTTATTTTTTTGGATAATTCTTGTTCCACTTTTCAAGAGAAAAATGTTACCGAATCATTTAGACACTTTTCGTTCCCTTCGGATAAGCTTCTCGAATGCATCGGACTACATTGTTGCAGTGATACAATTTAGTTCTACTACGTTTACATATACGTGAGAACACAAGCTTGAACTGGCACAAATTTAACCAGTTGATTACTACCTTATGCATGACTTAGAAGTTTCTCCTTTAATCGTCTTTTCACCTCCATTTATGTCATTGAATTTTCATTCAATATTATGTAAAATACTTAATTTCTCTCCCTCAAATGTTAACTCATCATCACAAGTCCCCCTGATGTGTTCTCTCAAGAAATTTCTGAAAAAAATATATTAAACTCACAAAGAAACAAAATTAATGCACAATATGAAAGTAAAAATTGAAATCAATATGCCTACATTTGGAAGCTAGGTTTTCTTATTGAGAACAAGCCAAGGGAGATAAAATAGGGGAATTGTACGAGCTTGTTGCGCAATTCCATGCTAAATCTTTTTATTAGCTCCTCCAATTTTTTAATATGTCAAATCAAATCCTCAAAGTTTATTGGATGAAATCCATTTATCTCAAAAGAAAAAGAAAAGAGACAAGACACAAGACACGAGAACATAACATACGAGTCTTTAATATATACAATTAAAATTTTAATGCACATACCCAAACACTTGTAGCTAAACATGTCAACGAGTCAAGCCAAAACTTCAAACTTGGGCTCGATTCGAGTAAAAATAGTGCGAGCTTTTTTTTTACTAGAGCCGAGCTTTCGTTCGGCCAAAAAATCTAGTCTCGACCCGAGTTTTCGGTTTGGGCCATAGCGAGCGAGCAGACTCGCTATTTTTTTGTTTAAATTCATGACAAATTTAAATTTTTTTAGAGAATTTAAAATCTGTGAAATTTATAAGGATTATAAATTAAATAAAAATTACAACATTCCTCATTCTTTCGAGCTTGAGACCGGCTACAATCAATATAGGCGGAGTTAAAATTCTACACGAATAAAATATTTTGTGTGATTTTTTTGAAATAAATAAATTTAAAAATTGCATATTTTTTTAAACTAATCAGTTTAAAAACTCACAATATCCTATTCGTATCTGCTGCAACTCTTAGGCTATTATATTGTCAAATTGTCTTGAATACGTAATTTCGTATATTCCAAGTCTTTCAAGCATATTAAAGCCTTCAATATATTTTCTTTAATTGTTCGTCTAATAAAACTTCACCACCTAAGTTAAATGCAGCTTTCGTTGCTACCGTAGACATCAGAGGTGTTAGTATATCATGTGCAATTTTTGATACAATTGGATATTATCTTTCGTTACACCTCCACCATGATAGAATGCTAAATTCCTGTAAATTTTTTGGTTGTAATATGCTACGAACATCCATGCACATATACCTAACTAATTCAGAGGGAATTTCAAGATCTGTACCACTAACATCTATCAATCTAAATATTGATGAACTAGAATTAAATGAGGGAACACTTGTATTGGTGTCCAAATGATTTCATATTTTATCTGAATTTATTAAAATATTTTTTGATAAAGAACTTTGGAAAGTAGAACTATCATAACCTTTTTTTTCAACATAATAGTTATAATAGATTTTGTGCCAGTTAAATTAAGTCGATGGCCCATGACCGAAACTAAAAGAAATAAAGAGGGCAACTCTTCCTAATATTTACAAAATTTTAACTCCATAAAATAGACTAAATCAACAAAAATTGACAAATTCCTATATTTATGAAATGTTTTTTAAATATAGAAAAAGTGTTGTAAGTGAAGATGTAGGATAATAAATACCACTATATTCCTTTGTGGCATCGAAAAAAGGTTTTAAGAATTTCTTCACACAAAATGCAATAGACCATTCACAATCTTCCAAATTATTTTTGGGTCCATATGTATGCCTACCATTATAATATAATAAAATAACTTTATCATAATTTTCACACGACTGTAACATAAGATATGTAGAGTTCCATCTATTTGTTAAATCAGTGGCAAATGATTTCTCTTGTAAGCCATACTCTGCACAGTTTGTTAAATGATTGCTTTCTTACTGGTGACACGGTAATAAAATTTATTTCTTATCTAATTTTATCTAAAGACTGCAATCAAATCGATAATGTGTCATACACAACGTCGATGAAAAAATAAACTTCCAAATGAAGGGTTAAGATCATTAATAATTTTTTAGATAACAATTTTGTTGACACTAACATTATCAAAAGTAAAATTTTGAACCATTTCTTATATATCATATTCTTGTATAATATCTTTTAAAACTATGTATATATTAGTGTCATTATGAGAATATTCTACACATATGAATGCAATAATCATTTTATGTAAAAGCCACGGGCAATCAATGTAATGAGCCATAGCTATCGATTTTATTATTGATCAATTTTAAATTTAAAAAGAGCCATACACAACACATGCAGTTGTTAATTTGATTTTTTTTTCAATTTTTTAAAAAGTTTTGCCGGGCAGCTATTGATTTTATTTTTCTTATTTTTTATGCTCAACTCGTCATTACCTGAAAATGGGGCTCAGCCAGAGCTATGAGCCAGTTCGGCTCGAGCTTTTCTCGGGCCTAGCCTCGGGCCTCCCGATTCGGCGAGCCAAATTGACACCTCTAATCACAGACAGCTAGCTGCCTGTATTGTGCACATCAATTTTTGAATTTTAAATTCAAATTTGGTTGAAACAAATATATTTTTTGCTATAAATATGGTGTAAAATTTTGAGTTTTATATCAATTTATTTCAATCAATTTTAACTTGCAGTATTCTAGTTTCAATTTCAATCTCCAATTTCTTTACTCTAATATTCAATTTCTTTCAAATCTAATATTGAGTATTTTTTGTTATAATAGTCATAGATTGATTTTACTAGTGTTGTGATGTGATTAATCAGTTTAATGGTAATTCGAGTACTCCATCCGGCTACGATGCATCTAAAAATCTTC